TTTTTTTTGGCTATTGCTACAAATATACCCCAGCAACTTAAGACTAGGTTTGTGGTCCAGGGTCACATAAGAAAATGATGGAGAGACATTTACAAAACTGTAATTGTCTGTTGTACTTCACGTTAAGTGATTTGAAATATTTTATATATGCTTTGAAAACCCCCAAAACCCAGAAAACAAACCTGCATGCACGGTCGGGAGAGTTGAGGATTTCATAGTAGAATACGGAGAAGTTAAGAGCCAGACCCAAGCGAATAGGGTGTGTAGGCTGAAGGTCTGTCATTGCAATATCACTAGCAGCTTTGTAAGCAACCAAACTGTTTTCTGCAGCCTCCTTCCTGTCGTTTCCTGTGGCAAACTCTGCGAGATACCTGTGGTAATCGCCCTTCCTGATGCATCAAAGGAAGAAAAGGTCTGTTTAAAACATGTAGAAATAAAGCCGTGACCTCATTATGTCACTTAAGATTCATCCTGAGATTCACTTAGAAAAAAAACTCATGGCTTTCATACATTTTGTAGTAGAAGACCTTGGACTCTCCTGAATTTGCAGCTGGGATTAGGTGCTTGTCCAATACATCAAGGATGTCATTGCAGATTGATTTCAATTCAGTCTCAACCTGGACATGAAAAATTCAAAGGTTAAAAAGTGTAAAACTAATCATTCTAGTCATGTGAATGAACGTTAGTTAGCACACGTCTTACCGTTTGTCTATATTCCCGAATCATTTTCAATTTGTCCTCTCCACCCTTATTCTCCTCTTTCTGCTCGATACTACTGATTATCCTCCAGGATGCTCTTCTTGCACCAATGACGTTCTTGTAGGCCACAGAGAGCAGGTTTCTCTCTTCAACCGTTAGCTCAACATCCATCCCAGCCACCTTCTTCATGGAGTCAACCATTTCTGCAAAAATCGAAAATGAACGTGATGGATATTTTGCCGATTGGATTTAATTACAACAGAATACAAGTCGCAAACACGGCTGAAATATACAAGGTTTTCAGTCAGTCAGAAAGTACAGTCGGGTTCCGGAAGTTTTCTCCATAGGTAACTTGACTTTGAACAATAACTTATAGGCCTAATTGAGATTGCTTTTGTTGAAGACATCAGCCACATTTTGTAATTAATTGAGCAGAATTTCTGGTAGAAAAACTACATTACCCATGATTCCGCAGAGAAATATCCAATAAGGACAAGCAAAAAAATCTAAAGAACTCTTTAGTGTCCGCCCACTCGCACAAAGCACTGCTGCTAATATAGCAATAGTTACCTTCGCTCTCAAACTACTTAAATACTTGCATGCATATTATGCAATAAACTTAGAGCAT